AAAATCTGCTGCAAATATTTCTGAGGTAAGAAGGCACCACATACCTGTTCAACTAAGAAAATCACCCTTATCACACAGGATGATTTTATTTTTACATAGGACCTAGAACACTTAAGCTGCCAATTAGGTACTGAATGGCAGAGCAACGTCCCCAGCTTATGCTATGCATTCATAGGGAATGCGTTCCAACAACTCGGGTTCCTTTCCATTGGTCCTCACAAAGTGTACTTCTCTGGGAGGGGCAGGCTAGCATTTCAGCTGAACCCAGGTACCTTTCTCTTTGGCTTCCTTCTTTTTCTGATCATTTTCCTTGACACGTTTCAGGAAGCTATCACGACTTTTTGAGTGTTTAATATGCTCAATACGCACATTAATCCTCTTGGCAAGTATCTTGCCCTTGCTTGTTTACAATAATGTCAGCAGCATGCTGGGTAACATTAGGACTCTTCCTGTTTTGCCATGGTAACATTTGTGAGGCATTCCTTTTTGCACAGTACCCATTCCCTTGATGTCTACAATATCACCCTTTTTGTAGATTCGCATGTATGTAGCCAAAGGAACAACCCCATGTGTTCTAAAAGGCCTGGAAAACATATACCGGGTTCCCTTCCTCTTGCCCTTTGTGTTAGTCATTTTGGCAAATTACTGGAAGATGGCGGTTCTGGCTGAAAGGAAGGTGCAACTAAATTCTAATCACTGGTAAAGAGGACTCTGAAGATATTGTTCATTATTTTAAAATTTACTGGATTTGATTTTCAATGTCAAGAATGATGGAGAGTTGTTTTTTTTTTTGCCAAATTATTATTAAGAATGTTCCTTCAAGGGGCTGGGACGATGGCTCAGTGGAATAAGCGCTTCTCTGGCAAGTGCAAGGGCCTGAGTTCAATCCCTAGTCCCCCCCCAAAAAAAAACCAAACAAAACAAAACGAATGTTCCTTCATTTTGCTACATCATAGAGTTTGAACTGTAAAAATAAAGTATTTGGGTCCATGAAAGAAAAAAGAATAAGAGATTAAACTCCCAGTATTGCATTGGGAGGTATGAGGCAATATAGAAAAAATAAAGATGGGTAGGAAGAAAAAATTATATCTCTAAGAAGTCTACAGTTTCAGGACATGATAAAATTTACCCAAGATTATTCCTATCTGTACTCCCTAGCTTTGTTTATGCTTGTTTTCTGCCACGGTCATCATACCCCAAGCCCTGAAAGATGTTATAATTCTATGAATTACCTTAGTTGATAAAATAAAGGGTAGGAATCTGAACTTGGTGAAACAGATTCAAAGGTTCTCAATTAATTAATTAATTAATTAACTAATTATATTGGTATACTTAGTTTTTCATTGCTGAGACAAAATACCCAATGCCTAAAGTTAAAGGTTGAAAGGTTTATTTGGCTCACAGTTTGCAGATGTTGTACTCCACAATTGGCTGACTCCAAGGCAGTGTGACAGCAAATAGGTATCATAGAGAGAAAATAGTTCATGATGGACAGAAGTTAACAAAGCAAGAAAGAGGCCTTAGCAGCCATTTTTTGCCCCTTTTCTATTCTGTCTAGGTTATCAGGAGTAGGGAATTGCCAAACAAATCACCCACCCTTAATCCTAGCACCCTTAATTCTGGCATTGTACCCTGAATCAGTCACATACTCTAGATGCAGCCACTTCTGAAAAAGTCCCACCTATGACTGCATGAGGCTCTGGGGGGACATCTAGACACAAGCCATA